CTACCAGTCTAAATTGTTGTTATGCAATCAGATAGATCCTAGAAAGCTGAATCCAAAGTTGTATTCAGTATGGGTAATTTGAAACTTTAAACATATAAATACAAATGGACATAGTCTGCGTGAGTCTGCCATAGGTTTCTGAAGAGCCACGGTGAAGCTCAAAGTGTAGTGGCTCTAGATGTTGCTATCTTTAAGTTCTGACTCCGCTGGCTAATCAAAAAAAGCCTGGTTATTGAAAACAGCTGCCTGTGACAGCATCCACCTGTTACTCAAAGCATCCATGCCATTTTTATGCGTAACTTTAAGCCTTAACAAAACATTAAGGCTTAAACGTCATATATTTTAATAAGGGGCCTTATGGAGATTAATCACTTATGTAGCCAGCCTCAAGTGGCAGTTGGAGTTCGTGTTGGCTTCATTTGCCTGCTTGGTTTTAACAAGCAGTCAGATACGGTCAAGACTGACCATCAATATCTTCAATTTCTAGCTGAGTATGTGTTCACTCCAACTGAAGTCAACTCTTAACAATACCAAGAATGTAGGCTCACCACTAGACACAACATGTAAAAAGGACACCCTTGGAGCTACGGAAGTGCATTTTTCACCTTTTTTTTTAAAGCTAGCCGCCTCCCCAAAACCTCCGGTCAGGCACAAAGCAAACACATCTCATGCCTGGCTCTGTACAAACCAATCCATCAATGCTATGTAACTTTTAACTTCTCTTCATTTTTCTCTTTATTCAATTTTTCTGGATTTCTATTTCTGTCAAATTGTCTGCAGCAGCAACTGCTTTATATGCTACAGTAACTATCCAGTTAACTACCTTATTACTTTAAACGTCTCTATGGGTTAAATCTTGGTGATGTGTAGGGTCACCACGCCCAGGGTGTCTGAATGCACTGAAACAGCCAGCACTGCTTTGGGCTATAAGCCGGTGCAATATATCACCTGGTTGAGGGACGCACACAACAAATTTCAGCTGTAGCCTACAGCCAGCGGCCTGCTCCAACCTGCGGAGATGGGTTTTATAATGGAAGATCTGCAGTGAACACATGCAATTTGTGCACTATAATTACACTCAAATATATAATTACTCCTGAGCATATATTGTTCTGGATGAGGTTAGTTGAATTGTCTCTCTCTCTCTCTCTTTCTTGCTGTTGCTCTTTTAGGGTCCAGCTCAAAGGGTTTCTCTTGTAGTGAAGCTCCAGTTGTGTCACATTTGATTTTTATGCACAAGATGGGAACCCTAAATGGATCTGACAGAGCTGGACACCACTTACTTATTAGATGCTCATTTTGTTTTACTTAACTCAAGAGTATTGAGCTTTGAGGTAAGAGCTTGGGGCGGGGCCGGGAACTGAATTACCAGTTTGTCCTCCATCTTAGAGTATGAACAGAGTGTGGAAAAACAACCTTTACTTCCTGCCGCTGAAAGCTCAGAGTGAGTGACAACCTTTAGTAAAGTGTCTATGACAATATGCAGCGAGGCAAACAAAATCACAATGACTGAGGTCAAGCCAGTCACTCAAAACCTTTAAACCTTTGTGAGCATCTTCTGTACTGAATGACGAGACAGGATGTGGCGACAGACTGAAACGTTTTGAAAAAGTACGAGTATTGTTTAATACATGTATAACTGAATAATGAGAAAAAGAATCAAGTTTTCAAGAACTCCTACAGCAACAAAAACCTTGCTGCAGTCATTGTGTTTAGTTTGGCTGGGGAGCATGTTTCTCTTCCTAGCAACGTGATATGAATGTTCTTTGATAGTGTGAGAGCTCCCTGCCACTCTGCGATTAGGGATCCTAAAAAACTCAGACAATCACCAAACATCCTCTTCCCATCCCACCGGGAGAGCCACACAACTCCCTTCTCGCCGCTAGTGTAAAAATCTGAATCAGGCGAGAGAACAAATGAAATTCTCACAGCGTTCAAATTCAATTTGCCATTGTGGTTGACTCGCTTGTTGTGATGGAATTCCACTGTGAAATAAACACAGATGGGGAGATTAAGATCTGCTCAGAAATAAATGACGTCTGTCGCAGGAAATGACAGTCCAAATACGCAGCATGCCACTGGGACGCAAAAAGGTTATAAATAAGAAAATAAATAAGAATATAAGCTCTCTAGGGGGATGAAATTGATATTTAAACACTCAAGTAATGAGCGTTAAAATGAATATGTGTGAAAAATAATAGAAAAAGAAAATATCTGCTACTTGAAATCCAACTAAACATTTGACGTTTCCAAAAAGTAGCTGTTTCTACTCTGTACTGTACTGGCTGGGAATTGTGTATGTGTGTGTGTGTGTGTGTAAGAGAAAGGCCTAGAGAGGGAAGGGCCATGTGAAGACCGGAAAAGCCCTGGTGCAGAAAAACAAACAAACAAGGCCCAAGCAGCGGTAATTAAGTCCTCATTAGTCCCTGTTATGCACAGGAACGCAGCGGAGCGGCAGACAGTGCTGTCATTTCTGACCAACAGTAGCCAAAACCTGGAGCTGATATAGATCCCTGCTCCACGCAACAGCGGGCGTTTACCCAGAAACTCTCTGTGTTTCCACCTCAGCTGGCACGTACAGGGCGATGAGTGTTCTGGATCAATTTTGCTGAGCGGGGAGGGGAGGAGGAGGCCCCCTCGGCCAACAGCTACGGGGCTGGTATAGGGAGTTTGGCTCTTGGGTGTGGAGCTGCAAATGTGCTTTATCAAAGAGTAGCGTGAGGCGTACAGCATGTGCTTTCTTGTAGGTTCAGGGAATCAGAACAGGTGGCTTGACCAAAGAGAAAAAAAAACGTAGTCACGTGTAAGTTGGAGTTTGTATAAAAAAAAACAGAAGAAACAGAGAAAGAGAGAGAAATGTGAGAAGTGAAAAATGACTGGTCACTTAAACATAAACCAAGCGATTTCAGACACGAAAGTTACACCAGATGGAGAACATCAAGAAAAACACACAATACTGGAGGCGAAAAAGAGATGAGGTGAGGCAGAAAGTGATGGACGCAGAAGAGAGTCAACACAAGCTCAGGGAAGAGAAGGAACAAGGGCTGCACTTAGTTCTTTTATTTCCCGCTCCCCTCAGGCACGCCAAGTCTCATTTACCAGCTCTGTAACTGCATACACCTGACCCAACACATCAGCATAACATCCAATGGGCAAGTTGCACGCACACACATGCTGTACACACCTTGGGATCATACCTGGCCCTACTACACCCACCCACAAATGCTCTGCTCTACGTTTGCCTTAGAATTAGAGGATAAAAAAACTCAACTGAGCAAAGGTCAAATCAGCACTTTTAACATCACGATACATAAAGTAAACTTTAAAGTCCACTCCTACATGCTCTAATAACGTTAATATAACAAACACGCTAAGATATTTGCAGGCAGGAAACACAAAACATGAAAAAGCCAAAAGGAAGCAAGCAAATACTGTCCACTCTCACTATCTCTAAAGCAGCAGGACACTCCCTCCTAGCACATAACAAATGACCGGGCGTTCAATCAAATCGATCCATGTGGCCTGCCCACAGACACACAGAGCCACCTTGCAGGGTAAGGTCTTGGCACCTGTTGCATTTGAACAACAGAGCCTCAGTACCTGGGAAACCAGATAACAACGGCGGTTAAGAGCTCTCAGTGGCTCTGACTGTGTCAACAATGGCCCCCCTTTCGCTGCCTGGGCACACACTTGTACACACACGCTCAGACGCACCCATACACACTACACATACACACACACAAAAAAAACGCACTTACTCAAACACAAAGCATAAATCGGAGATCACGCCAAGTTTTTTGGTTGAGTGGAAAAGCATCCGTCAAATATAGTATGGGACAGCTGTCGTCCTCCATGGCAACCGCATGATAAATAAACTCAGCTTTTATCTGCACATCAAGAATGTTACACATTCTGTAAACAGAGAATTATTTTGTGATAAGTGATAGATAGGGGGCAAATTGGGAAGTTTGTCACTTAAACCAGTACAGACTTTTACCCCCACAGGTGTGGTATGACACTTAAAGTGGTAAATCCATCCAAAAGCCATCTGTCTGTCTGAAGTATGACTGTGGGGTGTAAACAGATCTAGTCAAAGTCAGTGTCTGAGCCCTCCTCCATTATCCTCTACAGCTCCATTCCCAGACACACCCTTCTTCTCTCTCACACAAACACACACACATACACGCACGCACAGAGGACATAAGAGGGAAAACGCTTGTATGAAACGTGTTAAGACCTTAAGAAACAAGGTTATAGTCAACATTTTGTACAATGCACACTTCTATTAGTACAGGTGTGCTTGAAATATAATTCCAAGGTAAGAAAACAGCAAACAGCTCGGTACAGTATTTGTGAACGGAGATCCACAGATTGCCTAAGTCCTGTTCAACAAGTCTCAAGTGTTGAAAACGTAATAATGTGCTGTGCACCTCCAGCATATCACGTGACTGTGCCAAGCAGGCACACAACCAATGTGCTCGGAACCAAACACACCCACTGCAGTCAAATATGAATGCAAATGTGACACACACACACACACACACACGAGTTCTCATGAGACGTTCATGATGCAAATATATTCAATGAAAAAAATATGATGGGCCTAAACCTTAAAGGCTTAGTCCAGCTATTTAGTGTTGCACTTTATAAGTTGGAGACACAGAAGTTGGGATATCCCGAAACACTGGGTGCTACATTTCCCATAATGCAACTTGATAGCCTCTTTCATTAGATGCTATCAAGTTGCCTCCTAAACACTAACTTTTTCCAAACCTCCAGTTTGTAACGTGGGTTTCTATTAGCTACAGAAATATTACATCTCAACCAGACTTTGGAGCATTCCCTCCAGAGCCACATGAGACACTATACAGCTGTTTAACGGGCTGACCTTAAATCAGTGGAGTGGCCCTTTAATATCCCACTATAATAACTCAATATTTATTTTGGCTGTAATAGTGCTACTATGCTCCCCCCTCCTTTCTATCCCCATGTCCCCTCACCTGGAAGATCAGCACTTTAAAATGGTTCCTCTTCAGCAGGTGGCTGTGGTTCGCCTCCAGCTTCTTCACCTGGACCGCCTGTTTGTCCAAGCGCTCCCTCACGTCCTTCAGGTGCCCGCTAACTTTGCGGGAGCGCTCGAGTAACTTGCTGACGCTGTTGGAGGTGCTAACGTGGGTCTTGGACAGGCGGGTCACGTCCCCCTGCACGACCCGCACGGCGCCCTCCAGGTCGGCCTGCCGCTGCTCCATGCGCTGCTGGTTGTCCTGCACCGCCTCCAGCATGTTCACCAGTTTGTCCAGCAGCGCCACCACGGTGATGGCGCTCACCTGGCCGCCTGCGACGGGGCTGCCCGGGGCCACCGCGGTCGGGCTGGTCGGACTCTTTAAACCCAGCCGGGAGAGGGTGCTGGTCGGGGTCGGGGAGGACGGGGCGGACGACGGGCTGAAGCTCGGGATAAGGAGCTCGGCCGCGTTTTCGGGCAGCTGCTGCGGGATGGTGTGGGTGCTGCCGGAGACGCTGCTGGGCTCGGCGTGGGACGCGTCTTCTTCCATGGTTCACAGGTGGTCAAATGTCCCGCTTTAGTGGGCTTATTCACCTAAACACAGTGGTTTAGTGGTAGTTTCACCAGCTCTGTGATGCTGCTGTGACTTCCTCCAGCAGGGGACTGAAAGCAGGGTGATTTACTTCTTGGAGTTGATTCAGCATCCACGCCCCTGTCTGTCTTTCTCTGTCCCCACACACACACACACACACACACACGCGCGCATAAACACGCTGGTGAACTTTCAAAACACCTCCCCTGCAAGCCAAAAGGGAGGGGCCTGGTTGCTATGGAAACCGTGCAGGCCTAGCCCTATTGACAGAATAGAGGTAGAGTTGGTGTGTGACTGTGTGACTGTGTGTGTGTGTGTGTGTGGTGTGTTTTCATGTGACTGCCAACAATTCCACTTTGTGCATGCCTCGCTGCATTTGCAAAATATGTGCGAAGGCTACTTTTGTGTAATGCACACGCTGGTGTGTTTTTGTACTGGACTGCATTGTAATGGAGGGGGACATTGATGTGTGTGTGTGTGTGTGTGTGTGTCCGACAAAACAATAAAGTGAAGATAAAACTGTATAGGCCAGAGTTTCAGGAACTTAGCTGAATGTTTCCACTGTAGGATGAGATAGATCATGGACCATTAAGTCCGGTGTATGTATGTGTTTCCCTGTGTGCCCCTTTCCTCTCCCCCTCTTGTTTTTGAGCTCTGTGTTGTGGCACGGGGCACACTGACATGGAAATGTGGAAATCCCTGTTTCAACAATGAGCTCATCTGTGCCATGGCATGAAGCCCTGGCCGCTCTCTCTCTCTCTCTCAATCTTTTCTCTTTGTCACCGTCACTGTTGATCTTTTGTTAAATCACACAATCACTCTTGCAATTTAACGTGAACTAAATCAAATTAAATGTGCGGGGTTTAAACAGGAATGTGTCGGTGTGTTGCAACATTTTCTGTAAAGGGAGGGAAGCGTGTGTGTTTATCTGTATGATTAATCCCTTCGCAGAAAGCCAACTGCATTATAACTATGATAATAATCTATTTTATCACTACGAAGTATGGAAAGCATTCAAGAAAACACCTTTTTTATTGGATTCTGCCTGATATGGT